GGTTATTCTTATGCCAACCTCGTGCTATTCAAAAATTAACAAAAACTCAAAAAGAAAAATGCTTGAAAAACAGAAAAAGTGAGAAAAAATGAGTTGCTTACCTCAGTAAAAATGAGTTAATAATTCTCAAAAAATAATTAATTAAAATTGAACGGAAGGAAACTTTAATCCTTCGAAACCTTGAAATGCTCGATTGATGGACAGACCGAATCGGCTGTCCAAGTTTGCGTTTTTGATTTAAATCATAGCGGTTGACTAACTATTTCGGTCAAAATGGTAGATATTTTTTTACGAGCACCTCTTATGAGTCAAACAGCGCTGAACCCTTCGCGCGAATAAACAGCGTGAACAGACCCGACTAAGGTCGTCACATGGTTTGAACAATCAATGTTGATACGGTTTATGGCGTTTTTGTCTATGTATGGAAAAAATCAAACTGCAGATTTGTTGCTTTCAACACAAAACAACGGTTTTAACGAGATCACTTCCAAATTAATTTGATTAATAGAATTAGTTCAAGTTAAATTGTAAAATTGTGGCTGAAAATTTTTATGGTTTGCAGATTATTATTTCATGCTTTTTTCTATACGAGGCAATTGAATCAATTGAAGAAAATGAAAAGGAGTAGTTATAATAGCCAAGATAACAATAAAATTGTGGTGAAATAAAGTTTGGTGGTTAGCCTTTGATGAAACTGTCTGCTCATTCAGTTTCAAAACCCAAAAATCATACCAAATTTTCTCAACCAGGGGGCGGCGGATCTAGGATTTTCTCGAGGGGGGGGGGGGGGGGGGACGGATGGATGAGGGGGGTTGGCGGATTTTCAAAAAACTTTTTTTTGAGGTCTATAAAATTGATTTTCAGAGCTCTCCCAAAGCACTAAAAAAAACCATGTTTTGGCCAAATCAAAATTTCTGCGCCGCGGGCAAAATTTTGAAAAACAGGCCGAAAAAGCGTTTTTAGGCACTTTTTTAAAAACTTTGATAAAAACCTTTGGGTCGACAGGTGGTCGAATCCCTAGAGAGAGGCGTCAGCCCCCCCGCCCCCTTAACCTGCCCCTGCTCTCAACACAAACTTTTTTTCAGAATGCGAATCATGGCTAAAAGCGCTTAAAAAGATACCATGTTTTCAGGGGCAGATTTAGGGGGGATATACAAATTTTTAGGGGGAGCGCGCGCCGTAAAAACGCGACTTTTTTTTAAATTTCCAAAAAGTGCCTAAAGACGCTATTTTTAAATCTTGCCTGCGGCGCAGACATTTTGGCCAAAACAGGGGCTCTTTAGGGCTCTGAGGGAGCTCGGAAAATCCATTTGGTTCGACCTAAAAAAAGGTCGACAATTTTTTTTAATCCGCCCCCCCCCCCCTCGAGAAAATCCTAGATCCGCCCCCGCTTGTTTTTGATATAGTTGAAAACACACCCTTTGCGAAAGAAGTTTATTAAAGGTTTCAAAAAAAATTTGTTTCAAGCCACTAAAATATGTAATTAAAATCAAAACCTGTTCGTTTCTTGTATCTAGCAGTTGTTTGCAGGAGCATGCACCAGAAGATTAGAAGAATCCGGACTAAAAACATATGAAACAAACATTTCAATATTTTCAAAAAATTTTATTTGAATAATTTGAATATACCAACTTCGCTGCTGCATATTGATGTTTTTTAGACAAATTGATGCCTAATATTGGCACTGGTTATAACACAAAATGTGAATATTTTAACTGAGTTAATGGCTTATCGGGGACAAGCTAAATAAGGCCTTCGTGATCTGATTCATGATACAAACGAAAAATAACATCTGCCATGCTAATTGGAATGACGAGTTTAATGACCGCGGATTTGATTTCATCAAATGAAATATTCAGCACGCATTTCCCCAGTTTCCCGTATCATGTTTATAAGGAACTGCTCGGCTGTAGATCAGCAACTAAATGGTCCTGATGTGTGAAGTTGTTAAACGAGACAATAGATGTCATAAAATAGTACCAAAGGGACCATTTGATTCGTCAGGGTTTTGATTATCCCCCAAATTCGATTCTAGTTAAGGGTGCCTTAATTTATCAACTCAATCCATCACTGACATTAAAAAAAACTCCTCTTTTATATCACCAGTCATGATTTGGATAAAATCCAGAAAAAAAAACTTATTTGATTCAGGCCAAAAATTCTGAAGAAAATAAATTACAATATAATTATAATATAGTTTTTATGTTATAATCAGGGGCGGATTTAGGGGGGGGGCGGACGCCCCCCCCCCCCTTAGGGATTCGACCCCCTGCCGAACCAAAGGGTCCCCCCTTTGATACTTTTTCAGAAATCCATTTTTGGCCGACCGACCCTAAAATTTTTCTAAAGGCGCCTTTGGCGCCAATATATACTAACTTTGAGGGGGAGCGCGCGCCAAAAACGGCTTTTTTGACTGTTTTTTCAGAAATTTGCCTGCGGCGCAGAAAATTTTGCCAAAATGGGGGCAAAAAAGTGCTTTGGGAGAGCTCCAAAATCAATTTGGTCGACCTAAAAAAAAAAAACAGGTCGTCAAAATTTTCGAGTTTTTTTTGAAAATCCGCCCCCCCTCGAGAAAATCCTAGATCCACCCCTGGTTATAATGTAATATTAAAATATACTATTAACGAGTTTTGGCGAAACTGAACAAGCACTATGCGAGCTCAACCTCCGTAAAATGGTAAAAATAAGAAAGTTCAAATGCTTGAATTATTGAAAGAATTTATCGGCAAAATTTCGTCAAATTTTTATTCGAACATAACATCATCAAACAGCAATAATGAGCCCCAAAAACGATATAAGTCGGCGCAAGCTAGCCACAAGAACCAAAAACAAAGTACTTAAGGCAATTAATATTTTTAAGACGATCAGCCATAATCAAGGCTAGCCAAAAAACGGTCAAATAGGGTGTCAACCCTTTTTTTTAGTAAATTAAAACATAGACAGGTGGGAGACTTGAACGTACGCCAAACCAATCTATTGTTTCTGGACTCTGATTGCTCTGGACAACTCAGCAAACTGGTCTTTTCTTTTGTTCAAGTCTTCAATTTCTTTCTTTAGTTTATGCGCTGTTCGAGTCTTTATTTACTTTGACACTTTCGCATTACTTAAGCGTGATTATTCTCCGCCTTTAAACAGGAAAAAACCGGAGCGAGCGTAACGGTCGGCTGAGTGAATTCGCTTGTGGCGGTCTGAAACAATAGCGGATTGTGAACAACCGTCCTACCATAGTTTGGCTTAACGATTCGGACATGAGGGCAGTACCCACGCGGACTATCGGTCCCATACGAGATGGAATGCCTGTCTCAAGAGTGAACCCAGACTGAGTCTGCCACATGATATGTGCATTCAGCAAGGGAATATATTCTCGAAGCCAACGATACCAAAAAACGTAAGCCATCGACTGCGCTCGCACGTACGGTTTCTTGTCGTCGTAGTATTCCCCACGTGAAAGTGATGGAATGGAAAGCTTGTGTAATGTTGCCCAAGCAAAAAATGGGTTAGGTTTAAGGCTTCTATCTTATATGAATTGTTGCTAACAAGAACGATTGGCCTCAAATTCAAAGCCTGATCAACTAAGCAGATTGTCGTAGAGTACTTGATTAACGCTTCGGATGAGGCGCTCTCAGGAGCCGCCATGAAAGATTGCGCCTGGCCGGTTAAATTTCCAAGGAACACCTTTGTGTGCAAAAAGTGTCGGATCCATGCCGTTCCAGTTCTTGTGCAGGCAAATAGTTTCTTTTCCCACCAACGAAGTTCGTGTTATTATCGGACCATAATGTGCTTGGTGTACCAGACTGTGCTAGGTGCTATGAATCGTTCAATACCCATCACAAAATATTAGCGTCCAGAGATGGCACAATCTCAAGGTCTACAGCCTGGCGGTGAGGCAAGTTGAAATAATTCCCCATCTTTTCTCAGTGCTTCTGCGAACCTGCTCGTATGATTAAAGAGTGATTGCTTATATCCGAAAGTTTTGACAGGTAAACTGGATATAACTGGCTGCATGATACCAGTTTTGCCTTCACGGCATTGATTTTTGATAGAACGTTGATTTTTGATAGAACGAAGTAGTCGACTCAACACAAGTATTGCACATACCATGTTCAAAACGGAGCTCATGTAGTCTAAGTCTTGATGAAAGTGCATATGGCGGAGGCTTCGGAACAACAAGCCAACTAGGGTATGACGGGTGTCGAGTAATATTGGGTGCTTAGTATCAAACTCGGTATTCACTAAGCGAACAATCCGGCCGATGGAGCGAACGGTACCAGCGCGGCCGAGAAATGGATATCATGTGGTAATCTTACTAGGTTTACCAGATGTTATTGCTTTCACCTCATCGGGATAGGATTTCATCTGAGCAAGTCGAATATTTTGTGCAATTTCAGGCTCAGCGGGATCAGTGATCTATAAATCTG